GGCTTCCATACCTACCTACTTTATCCCTATTAACCACATTTTTCTCTTAAATATATAGCATCATCTGATTTGTGATATCTGAAATGAGCAAATGAATTGGTTAAATGGAAAAAAAGAAAATTATATTTTATGTGTTAGTCCCCATGTGCCTAATGCACTCATTCCTCCTCATGTAATTCAGTTTCATGCCATTAAATCAGATAACAGAGCAATGTGAACTCTATATATAATACCTTTATCATTATTTATGAAGCAAAATACTGGTATTATTACAGTAGTGCAAGACGAAAAGTCTTACACAGAAATTTCTTCAAAAGTCACGATTATTGCCATTATGTATTGAGAAATATTTCCTGTCCAAATGGAAGTTATAAAAAAAACACACGTTCGCTAATTCACTTTGTCTGGACTTCTGGGAAGCATGTTCATTTTTGAGACTAAAGACAAATCCAAATGGATAATTTTCCACATATGAGTCTAGTCATGTGGTTTCGGGTCCCCATCCAAGTAGGAAATGTTTGGAGGCCGAACAAAAGAATCACATGATGTTTCAGCCCCTTGGCCATGGCCATACCGACAGGTATTAATTTAAAAAGGAAATAACAACAGAATCAAGGCAGATGTTAAAGATGTTTTGGAATGCGCTGATAGTTCCACATGGAACACCATAAAAAGAATAAACCGGGGTTGTGTATAATCAAACTGTAGTCCAGGATGTCATAAAACATTAGCATGTAAAAATAGTGAATGCTTTTTTGCAAGCAACTTTATTGTGGCTAAAACAGATCTTTCTATGCTTTGAAACTGATTTATGATGTTATCTATTGCAAGCCAAAACAGGCACGGTGAACCGTGTAATGCATGTTTAATGATGCCTTCTTGCCTTTTGTGGTGATTATAGGCGTCCTGATGGACTTTACTTTCATGTAAAGCAGGCTTTGATTTTGCCCTCTTTTCCAACTTAACAACAGCGCTGTTACCGCACTCCTGGGAGTTCACCTGGCTCCAATGGCTTGTTTTCTTAGAACTGAGAATTTACTGTCACCTTGACTAAAATAACCATTAGAAATTCTTTAGGGAAATCCCTAATTTCATGTTTTCACTTTTAGCTCACCTACATTCTTTGTTTAGCTTAATTAACCAAAATCTACTAGCAAAGTGTCTGTTCATCGCTCAATTCTTTGGATGTAAAACAGATTACTCTGTTTGCTTTCAGCAGAAACATTCAGATCATTTGGAGACACGAAAGCCAAACAGTGGAACCATGTTTGGATGCTGCATTACCTCTTTTCTCTTTCTGTCGGCAACCTCTGAGGTATTTGTTTGTCATAAGCAGTTTTACATAAAAGTTATACATAATGTAAAATAATTCATTAATTACCATTAAATTAAGTACAACAAAACACAGACCCATGAAAAGTTTAGTACTTAGCAAACAATCAGTAATTTGGCTGTGTTACACATGTGCACAATTACTATGCAATTCAAAGATCCTGGAGAGACAAAATTGTATTTTCTAAGGTTTATGTTTCATCATCTAATGTCACTGTTGATCTTTTTTTCTCCTATTTTTGAATAGTTTTTTGTGGCGGTCCTCTCAGAGAACAACACTGGAGGTACGGCACAAAAGAATACCCCTGAAATGGGCTTCACTCGTCACAATATTTTGACCGCCCAGTTTGAATGCTACCAGAAGATTATGAAAGACACTAATCACAACAGAACAGGTGAGAGGTCCTTATTTCACACAGATTCTTGACTATGAGCAATATCTATAAACTATGCCCTGACATGTAGTTTGTGGGAAGTCATGGCAGAATTCCACTGTAAAAGGGAGGTTTAATATCTGCCCTCAGTCTCTATTTGGATGCTCTTAAGAATATTAGGGGGCATGGACCGAAACCGCATGATGTTTTGTCTCATCATCCTGGAACTTACAGGAAGGCTCTAATGTGAACAGATGATTAAATGGAAACATTCTGTGGGGTGTGTCCTACAACATGAATTTGTTCATCTACAGAAGCCCAACATTAGCTGTCTGGCCTCTGAATTAAGATTCATTGCTGTCTATGGGACACAAGTTACATTTGAAGGACAGCGATTAAAGCTTGACAGGGGTTGTGTGACAGCTGTTAAAAGCTGTTTGGTAAAGACCTTCAAAACTGAGGATCCATTTGCAATGATCCATTTACACAGTGTCAAGTCAATATTTGGTATGACCACCCTTTGCGTTTAAAACAGCTTTTGCCTTAGGTACACTTGTGCATACTTTTTCAGATAGCTTTGTAGGAAGATTTTTTTCACGCATCTTGGAGCTGTTGCCACAGTTCTTCACAGTTTTCTGATTATTCATGTCATTCCAGATGGACTGGATGATGGTGAGATCAGATCTCTGTGGAGCACTGGCTGTTGTCAGACTTGTACATACAAAAATCTCACTGGATTATTACAATTAATGGCAAAAGGAATGTTTAGAAATGAAAAGATATTTCCTACTGACACACTACAGTAAAAGATAGAAATAACTGGCTTAAAACCATTGTTTCGTTGGTGAAAATACCAATGGCTTTTGCACAGTACTGTATATGTGGCCTATTTGTACATATATGCATATTTTGCAAAATATGCATATATTAACAAATATTTAAGTAGTTGAGAGTGTGGTGTTTCATGGGAGTGGGTGTTTTCTATGTGATTTTTTGGCGCGATTTGTTCGCCACGACTCTTATTGGTGGAATTTTATTTACAGTATCATGGGTAATGTAGTTCTCCACCAGGAAATATTGCTGTTAGACACAATTCTTTGAAAAATAGCTTAAAATAATACAAACTGACAGCTTCAACAAAAGCATAATCCATTGACAACCTTGGAGCTCACAGTACACTATATCTGTTTTTAAGGCAAGTTATTGTTAAAAATAATTTTCCCTATGGAGAAAATGAATGGAATATTTATGCAGATTTATTGTTATTACTGATAAAAGATCTTTATTGTCTGTAGTCTTTTTTATTGTACTGTAGTCTTGTCTGAGAAGCTGATTGCTAAATGTAGACATCAAATACTAAGACCCATTTAAGATTCCAAGTCCTTATATTATTAATAACTGCAAATACCTGTATTGCAGATGGTTCTATGTGTAAGCGGATCTGGGATGGATGGATGTGCTGGGACGATTTGGAAGCAGGAGTCACTTCAGCCCAGCATTGTCCAGACTACTATAATGACTTTGACACTTCAGGTGAGTCCCACGATAGATTTTTTTAAATCTTGACCATTGAATAAAGGTTACTTCATATTCATAAACTTTATATAAAAGCCTGACTAATCCATATAGTGTTTTATCAGAAATGGCGATAAAGATTTGTACTGATTCAGGCCATTGGTTCGTTCACCCAGAGAGTAACAGAACATGGACAAATTACACGGGCTGTAATCATATGTCCAACGATCACAAAAGGGTGAGCTCTAATTTAGGATTACAGTGGTCCATTCTATCTTCAGAATTCACACACTTTGCTTCACATAAGTTTTGCTTTTGTTCATATGGTAAGTTTTGTATTTCTAACTTCTTCATTTCTTTCCTTCTTTTCAGACAGCATTTAATCTCTATTACTTGACTTTGATTGGTCATGGATTGTCGCTGATATCTTTGTTTACTTCTCTGGGGATATTTTTCTATTTCAAGTAAGTAATGCGAAAAAATCTTGCCTCCATATCATAAAAACGTACCTCCCTTTCCACCCAATCTAATATAGTTTGCTGTTTTCTTCCACTCAGGAGCTTAAGTTGTCAAAGGATAACTCTACACAAGAATCTGTTCTTCTCTTTTGTGCTGAACTCGGTTATAACCATAATCTTTTTCACTTGTGTTGCAAACAACCAAGAAGTAACACAAGCCAACCCAGTAAGTGTACAAAAAGAATAGTGGAGAAGCTTGTCACGCAAAATATGACCAGGAATGTGTATTAAAGAGTTCATCGGATGCTACATGCACTTTTACAAGTTGTTTGAACTGAAATGTGTGTTGGCAGTGTGTGTACACAACAC